GGGCTGCGTTCAAGCGCCTTTCCCCGTGGCGGTGCGCTGCTCACCGCCACTGCCATCCCGCAGCCTCAGAGGGCTTCTGCTGCCCCTGCCAGCTCCCAGGCCGTGATGGTAAAGGAAACTGCAGAGCTTCAGAAATGAAGTCATTTGAGGACTCTAAAATATGCAATATTTGACATGTATAGGGAGACTACGTGCTTTAAAGGTGCTCTCATAAAATGCCCTCTTCTATACAAATGCCCCCGGGGAAGGGATGACCAACCCTGCTCAGAAGACTTCTGTATTGCTGTTTGGGATCTGGAAGCTGGAGCAACCTACTTGCAGCACAAAACATCTTATCAGGGAGCTCTTTTTTAGGGATTTTCCTTATTACTATGCTAACGGTTGGTTCTCTTTGGTGTTATTGGTACAGCTCCAGTGGCTTCCAGGAACTTGCACCAGTTTACCCTGGCAGAGACTTTGGCCGGCAGCTCCCGTAGGAAATGAGAGTGTGGTCCTTCTCGAATAGGATATCGAATGAGGTAAATTTGGACTTCTTGATTATATCTAGAACAAAGGCCTATGATGTATATGAGATACAGATTATAGCTCACAGATTTATCCTGTTATTTTCTACTCTTCCCCCATTTGCCATCAGCACAGCTGGAGGAGGGAGTGCTTTGGGTTTCATGACCATCATCAGAAGGAAAGGCAGTGCTTAAGTTCAGTTTTCTCCATCACTGTTGTGTTCCTCCAGTAAATGCCACCGCCGTATTTTTTCCCGTGTGGCTTCGGTGAAATCATGGCATATTTGTACCTGTAGCAGTAATGCTGCTTTCTTGTGAAGACAGAGTCTTATCTGGACTGTTATGTCATGGTTAGACTGCAGGTTGGAGGAAATCAGCAGAGCAGTTTTAACACAAACATGACTTTCTTTTCAAACTTTTCCAAGTCAGGAACAGACTTGCTTTTGGTCTTACGACGTCACGCTTAATAAACTCTCTGGTTACTGTAGCTGAAGGACTGTCTCCTCCAAAAAATTCCCGTTTATAAGCACAAAATCAATGTGCTGCTTGTCAGTACGTTTCAGCTTAAAGATAAGTGATGTCCTCCTATAGACATATCCCACTGTATCCAGAGCAGTGAACTGGTCCAAGACCAGTACCACCAGTAGTAGATGTTGTTAGGACGGGCTCCACGAGACCCTCTCACCTTATACTGTATATATGTTGCTGAAATCAGCCAGATTGTTCATTAGCAAAGCACATGCAGACAGAGAATAGAGGACAGGTATCCTGGTTGTGTTCATCTCAACAAAAATAGTAACGAATTAGGAACGTGACAACTCTAATTTCCTCTCTTTCTGTAGGGGTGAGCACAGGAGGTGCCGGACATAAACACAGCATTTGCCAAGAGAACTGGCTCGTTCATGGCTGTGTTGGATGCTGTCAGGAAGAATTAAATTAACCGTGAGCGCCCCGACATGGAGAGGGATAGCGAGAGATCGCCATGCCTCACAGGCAGCCCTGCATAGCTTCTTTGCAATCACTTTCTTCCCTTTGCCTCTGTTAAAAGGAGGTGATTACCCAGTTGTCTGTGGGATGTTTTGCTGTTGTCAAGAACTAATGCTGTGTTCCGCCAAAACAGCCAAAAGGGTTGCCGTTTTGTGTGACAGAACATTGATGGGTACCTGAATTAACTCCTTTGCTAATAGGGATGCATTTTGTGCTCTTGATTGATAGAAATTCTGTCAGGTTGGCATTGCGCGTGTTATCTCCAGCATCCTGGGTGACTGGGGAGGTCAATCATCTTTGTCTTTGGCAGTGGGCATGTAGCTACCTCTTATTCCCAAAACAATGTGTTTATAGACCTTGGAAAGCTTTTTCACTTATTCGTTGTCCAGAATATTTTTTACTTCTTCACCTGATTAAGTGACTATCGATAAGGGTATGACAAAAAGAATAAATCATCTCTCCTTTTTGAGGTTTGATGGCAACCACCTTGTTGGGATATATTGGGGACTGAACCAGGGCTCTTAAGAGATGAGCAAGGAGGTTTCACTCGCTTGGCTGGCCCCAGCCCGCACCCTCAGATGCATTCTCGAAGTGGCTCTATTTCAGTTTGCTGATCTGAAGAGGAGGAAGGAGTCAAACTTGTTGTTCTTTTGATAAAATGTACATTAGAAAAACATATGACTTCAATTCAAAAAATGCATTAAGAATGTGTACATTGAATAGTTCGGATATGGCCACACGTATATTGCCTGTACGTCAGCCATTGTTTTACACCGGTGTAAGTGTGCCTGGGATTTCATAGTCAGAGAAGTAGAGTGCTTCAGGTTATTATGAGGAGTTGCTGGGAGTTGCAGCTGTAGTCCTTCTCCTGAAAACCTGTTCTGAACCGTGGTATCCATCCACCCAGTGGACACTGTTGCCTGGGATCAGTTTGTGTATAGAGCATACATAGCTGCAGTCTGAGCTTTAATTGTCACTTAACCTTCTGTTCACAAACCTCAATTTGCGCATAATGTAAATGCACCCAAAAGGTTTGCTTTCAGCAAAACAAAAACATGTACGTGTGTGATATTATAACATTTTGTATCTGTGCCTCCAGTTGCATAGAAGACTATTCTTTGAGAGAAATCAGGGGACATGAAATTTCCTTAGAATCATTGTGTATATTAATTATATTAATACAATTATATTAACATTGTGTATATTAATTATAGTGATTTGAAAGAACCGTGGTAAGGAAAAGTCAGTGTTGCTTTACAGTGAAATGGAGACACCCTGCTGGCTAGTGAAGTGAGAAGGCAGTACCCAGCATTCATTATTCATATCCATCAGAGCCAGTTGGGCTCTGATCACTTCTGTAATGCCTAGCCACCCTTCCCGAAGCTGGTGGGAAGGATGCGCTGTGCAGAGCCGCTCTCACCAGCTGTGAAGGAACATGGCCGTCCTCAGCCAGGTTTCCTCAGCTGCCATTCACAGCTAGGAGGCCCACAGGAGATGTTCTCCAGCCACAGCTATACATATCACTTATGTCTTCTCCCACGTGGCTGAGTTGGGTACTCACAGCGAAGCGAGTCCATCCTTCATAACGTGATGTGCCAGTACCTCCATCTCTCCAGCGCTAGTTGCACAGTCAGTTTAAGCTGCAGTCCGAAGAGAAGGCAAGTCCCACCTGCTCATACTTCAAACACAACTCCCCATTGTGAAAGCGTGGCCTTGGTGTCGCAACCAAGACCAAATTATGCTCCTGAGAAAGTAAAGGTGCTGCACGCTGATAGCTACCACTGGGACAAATTTCACGTTTACCTCTAACTGCAATAGTATCAGATCAAAAGAGAACAATTTAACAAAAAGCAGTTTTAAACCAAGAGAAGGTAATGTCTTGTTGAATTAATTTACTGCTTATTAAAATGAAATGGCAATGCAACAGCTTACGTGGTTTTATCTAATGTCTTTTGGGGCTCTGGAGAACTTTAAGCATCTAACAGCTGCATTAGGGCCTACATCCTGTTTTGAAACCATGCAAGTACTGGCATTGATTATATAAAGAAGTACATTTGTAGAACTGGTGGTTTAAAAAAAAAACTCCGATACGCCTTATAGATTACAATGCCAGAAGGCAAATGAAATCAATCCACTCCTATTGATTTGAAGCCAGCTGTGATTTGTGGAGCCCGACTGGTCAGTGGTGAATGCCAGCTGCTAAAAAAACTGCGGGCTGCTTCTATTCAAGTCTTAAAAATAATTTTTGACCAGAGACCGAACAGGAAAACTTTGAGTTGGACTGGAAACACTTCTGCAACATCTGCTCCTATAATTGGGGTCCCAGTTTCTTAGATCCTGACTGAGACCAGATCCAGACTGGAGGCAGCAGGGTGACTGAGCACTGAGAAGCCACAAGGTACTGATGTGCCACTGAAAAAGAGGAAGAAAGTAGCTCACAGTATGGGAACTGGAAAACGGGGCAAGTAGCAAGGTGATAACACCTTTCAGGAAAGGAATGCAAGGAAGATACCTGAGATAATAAGAGGCGGAGAGAGACTAAAGAACAGCCCGTGTCAAACAGGATAGAATAATTGGGGAGAGTTCAGAGTTGGGGAACAAAATCAATGAGAGGTTTGGAAGATAAGACCTGTGAAGAAAGGCCAGCAAAAGCAGATCTACTCTGCACTAAAGAAATACACACAAAGGGAGACAGTCATCTGAAAATGCGCGGAGGGAAGTTATAAAGCAGTCAGGGATCAATTTGCAAATAGTGGGCCTAATCTTTAAATAAACTGATGAACGGAATGAGAATGGAATAAATATCTGCTTGTCATCCCATCCCTTATGCAGCAGAAATGTGACCTCCTTTTCTTCTCTAGGCTTCTCCTTTCCAACAGCTGCACCTCCAGAATCAAAAAGCTAGATTGGCGTCTTTGCAGCTGAGTGTCTCTTGTGATATACATCCATTTTATAGAGCTGCTGGCCTCCCTGCCCAGCTATTTCAGTCAGATGCTTCTGTTCTTACTGCTCTAGGACTTACCAAGTCCCACTTGAAAGGACAACGAGATAAAGATGGAGGGCTATTTTAAGAAAGCAACAGAGGATTTTTTTCAGGACAGGAAAGTATTTCACTGAAAAGCAACAGAACCTCTCTCCTTTTCCACGTGACCAGGAATTTCTCTTTTCCTTAGGCAGCAGGTTTCTGGAGTCCTTAGGAAAAGTCACTTCTGAACTTGCCTAGACAGAATCTTTAGGCTCTCCTTTGCTGTGAGATGGGGCCTGCCAAACCTGAGGATTAATCCAAAGGGCAAGCGTGTTGGCTATTTCCTGTTCTGATATAGTGACTAAATACCTTCCTCCCTTTCAATATGCAGTTCATTCATCTTGCCCTATGCCTCTGACCTTTCTTTCCTCAATTGCCTGCTTATGCCTTCTAAGTGCCATGCAAACACCACCTCTTGTTGCCTTTGTCAGCCGGGGGAAGAAGGCAAACCCAAACATTCATCCTAGGAATGACCAAAATGAAGCTGAACCATGGAACAATGAAAGGTGTTTGAAATTGTCACAAAAGGCATGATAAGAACCGAGTGTGGAGCAAGTTCCCAATTGGACAAATATTTCTAAATTTTTCTGTCTCAGACAGAATAAATATTTTGGGGACAGAATAATTCAAACTTGAGTGCCGCTGCCCAGCTGCTGCCCAGTGCACACCAGCTAGGTTTGCTCAATGCCGGTGTTGGTAAACATGTGCAAGTAGCTCCTCCTCCTCCTTTCCATGAGGAAAGGCTCTCCTTGTCCTTGAAACACAAACCTAAGTTCAGCTGAGCTCCCCCCTTCTAGGGGTGGTGCCATGCCGTGACACTAATTGCAAAAAAAAAAAAAATGGAGTTTGCAATACAACAAGTAGATTGTGGAGGGTTTCCTTCCCTAGAGATACCTATGGTTAAACTTCCTAGCGTGTTAACAGAAGGTTGCAAAGAGGCTGAGCAGGTTGAGCAGAGACTGAGATCTCCACTCTTGTCAGTATGTAATAACTAATGTACTTGACCAAAAAAGCTCTCTATCTGCTAAGTCAATGCTCTAAAGGTTAGCTTCACTGGGAAGCTAGATCCAACTAGACATCTGCTAGTGAGACATAAGCTGGGAAGGCTGCGCTTCCTCTGGGGGTCTCCAGGTGCTCACTCCTGCGCATGCGTCGGTGTACTCCAGGTGGTGGTGCTGGTGGTGGTGGTGGTGGAGGAGCATTGCTCTCTCCGTGCAGCCTATGCAAGGACCAGGCAGGCTTCCCATACAATAATTGTACCTCCTACTACCCTTCAAAATGGGCAGGGTCGTTGCTGTAATTAATCACACCTGAATTTGCTGGCCAGGTGCTAGCAAACCGCACCGACCGAAGGGCATAAAACCGGGTGTTTCACACAATGCTGCTCTATGTCGTCCTTTGCTGTGGGGATGTGGCTCTGTCTAGCTGTTGGTACTCAACTCATGACTCGCTTCTCACAGCAAATCATTTCTCTCCGAAAGACAAGTCACACCATAAAAGTGTGATTAGTGTATCAGCTGATATCCTGGGTAAGCAGAACCCTTTGCAAATACAGGTGAAAGTACTTAGGACAGCTTAGAATCAGATCCAAGCTCTTTGTCTATTTTGTATCATTGCAATGGTATATGAATATATCCTCCTTTCATTTCTGCTAGATGAGATCTGTATGAATATGTAAGGACCAGATTCTCAGCTAGGATGGCTTGTCTTTACTCCGAGATCTGGAGTATAGTTTTAAGTTGCAAGTTCTTTGTATGTTTGCCCTCCTATCATATTAGGGTATGGCTAACCGTTTAATCTGGGTCTCGCCCCTAAGCTAAACTGTATTTTGCTGCAGCAGATACAGAAAGCTCAGGGCTATGAACTTTGACGGACTGTGTGCTGGAACACGAGCAGGTCAGCACACAGATGGGTAGAAAGTAGGATCTGGGACTTTCTCTCCTGGGGACGGTAGCATTTCCTTATTTCCTAAGGTATTGTAAATATGCGTGTATTAGAGAGGAGGGTAGTTAAAATCTCCGGCTCTGTGATAGGAGGTCAGGTAAATGCTTTCCCTGCGTAGCCCTCGAAGAGAGTATTTGTGGAGTAAAGTTCGTGTAAGTGTTAGGCTAGTAATGTATACTGAAATCATACAGTAGAGAGAATGGCTACAGACAGAAACAAAGCTTAAAGATTTTTTCCTTTCTTTCCTGTTTCCTCATGACTTCTCCAGGTTTTTCCACCATGTTCGGAAAAAAAAAGAAAAGGCTTGAAATTTCTGGGCCTTCCAACTTTGAACACCGGGTTCACACTGGATTTGATCACCGAGAGCAGAAGTTCACTGGACTACCTCAGCAGTGGCACAGCTTGTTAGCAGACACAGCAAACAGGCCAAAGCCTATGGTGGACCCGTCATGTATCACTCCTATCCAGCTCGCTCCTATGAAGGTATTGTACAGAGTCTTTGTTTCTTGTCACCTTTGAATTTCCTAAGGCAGTTTTAAGGGCATTTAGCTTTGAGAAGTAACACTGCTGCGCCCTCCAAAGTGGAGCGAAAGTTGTACTTGATCTCTGTCCAGAATCCCCGAACCTGCACTTGAAAGCAGATGGGTGGATAGTCATTTCTGGCTGGAGTCCCAGTGACATTTTTGTCACGCGGCCTAGGCAAAACAACTCTGGTGGTTATAAGTCACAGAGTCTAGGCCATCGTTTGCCACAGCGTTTTCCCTATTTCTCTTTGCGACTGAGATTAGGAATTCTGAAGCTGGCAAAAGATTACCTGATTATTCTAATGTAACTGCTTTTGTATAGTTATTGTTTGTATTGCTAGAAATAAGGGAAGGTTAGAGTGAGGTGACAGGTAGTTAGGGGCCTGAGTTTATCTTAGTCCCAGATAGCCGTTTTCAGAGGAAGTAGGCAAAGCCAGGATATGGATAGAGCTGCAAATCCAAATATTTAATGCTGGGACTGAAAGGAAAACTATCTGTTACATTTATAAAGCCTCTAAAAATGTCCCAGAAGAGTGTGCATCATGGTGTCAGGGCTGGTAGGGGCCATGCCTTGGTATGTTCTCGGGCTATGGAAGAAAAAGCCACGAGTCCCAGTGGAGGGCTGAGACAATACTGTTCTGCAGTATAAAGCTGCTTGATAATTAATGTAAGAATGGTGCTTTAGGCAAAGGCAGTTTGGAGCAGGGGAGAGAGGAAAAAGTACATTGAGGAGAAAAATGAGAATGACGACAGGAACTCTGATAGGAGCTTGACCTTAAGAATAGGTTCGGGGAAGATGAGTTTGTGGGATGAGAGCAGGTCAGTCAATTAAACGTGTTCAGTACCTGTGTGTACAATGTGCTGGGAGAGGTAGAAGCTGACTGGACTGCCAGGCTGCTCAAGTGGTGGCGCCCCATGGCTCGACGTCCATCGGCAGCCAGTAGCGAGCAGAGCGCCCACGTCAGTAGTGGGGCCATCATCACTCAGAGCCTTCATCAGTGACAAGAGACGGAGCGCACCTTCAATAAATTTATGCACACTGCTCATTCGTTGACATAACAGTCAATAAAGCTTCAGATCAGAGAGACCTTGTGAACCTTGAGGACCGGGCCAACACAAACTTCACAAAGTTGAGAAAGGGCAGAGCTTGGCACCCGGGGCAGAGAAACCCCATGCGCCAATGCAGGCTGAGCAGTAACCCTGCAGGAAAGGATCTAGGGATCACAGCAGACATCAGATGGAATATGAGCCAAGCATGTGCTCTCATTGCGGATAAGGCAAACTGCATGTTGGGCTATGTTAGGAGGAGCGCGGCCAGGAAATTGTCGTGTCTCTCTACTCTCAACGGACGAGGCTGTATCTGGAATACTGTAGCTAGGTTTGGATGGGCACACGCAGACACACACACAGCCTAGTTCAAGGAAGAAGTCAAAAAGCTGCAGAGGGTCTAGCAGAGGACTACCAAGAAGATGGGGGCCTGCAAGGACAGGTTGAGGGAGGAGGCCTTGTTAGGTCTGGCAAGGAGAAGCTGAGGGAGGGATGTGGTGTCAGCCTGCAGCTACTGGAAGGGGAGTTACGAAGGAGATTGAGCTGAGCTCTCCTCAGTGGTGGCAGATTGGAAAACAAGGGGAAGTGGCCAAAGGCTGTGGTGTGATTCGGATTGGACAGCTGGAAAAAAGCTTCACTAGGCTGGTAGTACACTGCTGGAACATGTACCAGTGCGGCTGCGGGATCCCCATCCTTGGTGGTTCAAGATGCAGCTAGACAAATTTGACCTGATTTAGTGTTACCGGTAGTCCTGCTCCAAGCAGGAGGTTGGACTAGCTGGCACCCAGGGGTCCCTTCCCACCCATGTTTCTGTGACTCTGCATCCTAATGTCCCAGGAAATCACACCTGCCATGCTGGCAGTTAGCATATACTCTGCCCAGCCACATACAGCTTGCACATACTTTGCCTCTCGCTGTCGTTACACTGAAAAATAATTTTAGGGTTTCAACTTCATGTGGATTTTCTGCCATCAAGGGAAATTCAGATAATCCTGAGAGTGCAGACCCTGTATTTATATTTGATAAATGCTCTTTGCTAAATTTGCATTTGCTGCCTGCTGCTGAAGAACACTCATCACTTACTGATCAGGATTTCCAGGCATTGCTACAGGACAAGGAGAATAAAGAAGTCTTGATTTTTTTTGCTGTGGTAGAATATCTTACTATATAAGAGATGCCTAGAATAATGAAGAGAAAAAAGTAGGCAAGCCTTTGCCTGCTAGGGGAGAAAATCAAGTGTATTCCACAGCCCTTTTTAGCACCAAAATATCCCTGGGTATTTTGACATGAGTGAATAAAGATGTTTTAAAGATGAAAACTCATTTTATTGTTGTGGCAGTACTATCTCTTTTATGGAATTCTGGAGGCATGAATCTGTAAGCTTTAAATGCTTTAAAATGTATTAGCTTTATCAACACCCTATAGGCAATATAAATCTGTGTCTAGGCCTACAAATGTATATATGCATATCCTGATTCACGTGCATCATTGCAGTGAAACAGTATGCTCAGGGGTGTGGGAAGGATCAAGCCCCGAATGAGTACCTGAGCATTTCAAGGCAGAAAAAATCACTGTTAGTTATTTCTAAGAAACTGTCTGTTCTTCCTATTCTGTCTGTCTATCTTAAACAGTTGCTTTAATGAGGGTGCATCCGCCTTGGCGTTTTAGCTGGGATCGGGAGTGCGAGACGGGCTCGCCGAAACTCCGACGCGCTCTCCGGGGCGGTGGCGCGGGGAGGCTCACGCAAGCGCGCTCTGCGCAGGGACCTGCAGGAACGTTATTAGTTTGAAGAGACAAAAGATGTGAAATTTGAAGCAGGTTAATGAAATTCCAGTTAACGCCACTCTAAAGGTGTAGTTAAATAAGTAAATGTGATTAAGACTGCAGGATTTGAAAAATTGTGCCTTCACCCTCCAGTTGTTTTCTCTATCTGAGACTCAACTATAGCCTATTGAAATAGGCCTCCGTTATCATGCTGGGGAAAAAAGGGATGTTTTAATAGCAACTAGGAGGCAGTGGCAGTAATCTGAGAACTTACTTTTAACTTTGTTGTAAGAAATCATTTTTACTGTGTATTTATTAAAAATTAACATGCCTTGTTTTGATATATCTTAAGTTACGGAGCTGAGCTAAGCTGTAGCCACTTTAAAACTGAAAGTATTTAATACTGTTAAAGTAATTCGGGATAAACATTTCATTCAGATTAATTTTTGCATAAGTGCACATGCGCTTACACCTTTAGTTCTATTAGAAAGTGATTTAGATGCTTAGGATCTTATAATTTCAGTGAGAACCAGAGATTTGAAATACATTTGAAAGTGGTGAAGATCAGAATCAAAGGCTCCAAGCTCATGATATTCTTTACGGGTTTTTTCCTTTTCCATCCAGCAGTTAATACACTTTCATTAACGCACTTGTAAATGTACTGAGATGTAGCAGAAAGAGATTAAGTATGTTCTGAGTCACCATAGTAAGTCGGGCTGAGGCATTGGTCCAGAGTTAGTCCATATAGTGGTTTCAGGTCCTATGGCAGCTCTCTAACTTTGCAATCCTGGGCTTCTAAATTTACTCTCTTTTAATTACTTCCGTATTGACTGTATGTGCTGTGTGAGGCAGAAATGTTCCTACCAGTAGTTGTTCCTCTGAGACTGAACAGTCACGCAGGTTCTCGAGGTAGAGTTTAAGAGAGTGTTTTGCTAGGTTTTGGGACAGAGATTATTCTGTTTCCTTTGGGCTTGATCCAAAGCTGAAGTAGAGGAAGAGAAAGACTTTTCTTGACTTCTGTGGGATTTGCAGCCATCCCGGTCAGTCCTGTTTACTTTTTTCTCAGTCTGCAAAACAGTTGGGACCTGGTGATACACACTGTGCGCTGAAAAGTAGGATATCCCTTTGGGCAAAACCAATAAATGATAAATGTACTCAGCTCTCCATCTAAATAACCTGCCATAGGTTCAAAGGCAGCAGCAAGGATGGAAGAGGCAGAGCCGTGGCCTCCAGACACCCTGGGGTGCCCCGTCCGGCAGGGAGGCTCGTTGTGCTGCCTCTGCCTTTCAGAGATCAGAGGGTTATAGTCCTTTTGCGCAGGGGCGGTGCTGCAGTGGCACGTGGTGATGACACCGGAGTTTGAATCCAAACCTGAACTGACCGCAAAACCTCATTCATTTCAAGCACAAGGAAGGGCAATAATGGAATTCCCATTCTCATTGCGTATGACCCGGATACCAGTAAAGTATTGTGTATGTCGAATTCTAACGTGAATCAATGAAACATGGCAGAAAATACCATGAGGAATAGAACGTAACAGTGATCTTGATAGGTTTTTGGTGGGGAGAGAGGTGGTTTTGAAAAAAGACTGTTTTTGCACTGAAAACTTTTCTGCATGAAAAGTGTGAATCGCCTCTATCTTCCTGTACTTAAAATAGATTTCATGAACTCTCAGATCCTAGTTTTAGGCCCTCAGTCCTCTTGCTTCAGCGCTTTTTATTCATCCTCAGTGTACCTGGGGTTCATTGTTTCTCTGTTTGCCTTCAGCATCCAATATGCTTGGATTGTCTTCTCTTACAAGTAAGAACAAATTATTCCAGAATGGTCAATCTCCATTGTCATCATGCTGTACAGGAGGTTCAATTTGTTGCCATGTTTTGATTTTTGAAAGGCCTCAGACTCGATAACTGAGCAAACAAATTGTATTTATGCAGCAAAATTCTGTGACTTCTTCGTAATTTCTCCACTCTGCTCAAAATATTTGAAAAACAAACACCAGAACCCCAAAACGTTTTTTTTTTTTTTTTTTTTTTTTTTTTTTTTTTTTCTAAAGAGCTTAGCATTGGCTTTGTAAAGATGCTGTATTAGCATGCGTGTGTGTTCACTGACATCAGTGGAAGCAGGACAGTACTGCAGGACAATCCTTTT